TATTTTAGTTTACTCCCCCCAAAAAAAGTTTGTACAGTTTATAGGTTACACTGAAGGTGGAAAAAGCTCTGAAATTACATATGTTTGTCTAATTTTTTTACATCACAGAAACCTGACACTTTTACAGGGGTGTGTAGAATTTTTATATTGTGTGTGTGTGTGTATGTATATACATACACACACACACACGTGTGTGTGTACATACATACATATACACACGCACACACACTCAATTATGTATTTCAGGTACTTGTATAGCGCTGTCAATTTACGCAGCGCTTTACATATATATATGCATACACACATACATATATAGTACATTCACATCAGTCCCTAACCCTCAAGAGGTGTACAATCTAAGGTCCCTAACTTACATTCATACATACATATACGAAGGCCAGTTTAGACAGGATCCAATTAACTTACCAGCGTGACTGGACCATCACATCCTGAAAATAGATAAGTATATACATATTTCTTACACAGGTTAGTTAGCATATGTGTTAGGAGGGGAGACGGAACATTTTAAGGATTAGTTAGGTATAATCTGAAACTCCATTTTAATCTTCTTCAAGAGAATAAAATGTGGGCAAAAGTAGCAACTGGCTAGCCCTTTCCTTGCCAAGGAATTTGTTAGCAAAGAAAAAAAAAAAAATACAATAAGCAAAAACCTACCATTTTCAAGAGCCCAAAATTTACAGAGTAAATCATCATAACAGAAAAAACATTGTATCTGATCATTTGGTGTATGTTTTCATTGTTTTAGTAGAATGAAAACTTTGTTTTCACGATTCTGCTACTACATCATTTAGCATTATGTAGTATGTATACTAATGCTAATGCATGACATTATTATTTGTAAGAAAAAAAAAAAAAAGTGCAACAACAAAGTTATTTAGTCATTTATAAATATATATGCCAATATTGAGACAGTGACTTATGTATAAAATGCCATCCACACAAACTTGTGAATAGCTACATTTAAAGCTTGAACAGACACACATTATACAGTATTTTATATTAGAGACCATTCAAAGAAGCAGAGGTATTCTGTAGCAAAAAAGAACATGTTTGTTAGAATTTTAGCCTTTCAAAAGATTTTAGCTATACATGTGAAATACACCAGCTTCATAACCAGGTCCAGGCAAAGATAAAAACCTGCCAATCAAACGTTTAAGTGCCACATAATAACGACAGTCTTGTTTGCCTTCATAATATTCTGCCCTATTTGTCTTTAAGGCCACATTCACACCATTGCATTAACATGCTCCGGTGCAATTCAACATAACATACGCTGCAGCATATCACAAACGCTCGGCATAGCACTACCATGAGTTGTGAGCTGCATTAAATTAAATAGTACATGCACCATTTCTGATTCTTTAGGCAGCTATTTGAATGGGTTTGCCTTATCACAAAGTGTTTTTACATATATCCACCAACACAGCACAATGGTGTGAATGGGTCCTTAAAGAAACTTGGAGGGTTCCACTGTTCAAATCATTGACAAAGTAGAGAATAAAATAACGTTCAAAGCCTTGCCTTCCTACTACTAATGAACATGCTGCAATAAATCAGTGTAAATGTCTCTTCCCTTTAAAACTGATAGTAAACTGTAAGCCAGCGGACAACTGCATAGATAGATAAAGTAAAAAAGAAAAAAAGTTATTTAAGTTGTGATTTATTGAAAGCAGCATGCTTATTAGCAATGGGGGGAGGGGAAAGGCTTTAAAGGCCATGATCACCTCTTTTAGTAAAATAGGCTATGAAGTCGATGGGCCCCAGTAGATAATAAACCTGAATTCCTGATGTGTTTTTTTTTTTTTTTTTAACATGGTTACATTGGTTCAACTTGGTATTAATGTAAGTATGTATTTTCAACATCTGGCCAGTCTTTGTGGAAGCGGAGAATCACTGTAGTAGCTTCCACTACTACAGTAATCCTTGTGGTCTTTTGGATCCCATTCTGCGTGGTTGCCCTGCTGCACAGTAACTACAGCAGTTCGTCCACTTGGCACGGGTGACATTCAGTGAATGCCTTGTTTTCTTTCCAATAAATAAAAGGCATTCTGATTGCACAATGTTGAAATCGTGACATCACCACCTCGCCTCTCCACCACGTCCAATCAGAGAATGCCTTGTATTCATTGATAAATGCAGAGAGTTCACTGAATGGCACACATGTGAGCAGACAACCGCTTGTGGTTATTATGCAGCAGGGCAGCTGTGCCGAAGGCCTGGAAGACTGAGAGGATCGCTGTAGTATTGGGAGGTACTGCAGGGATCCTCTGCTTTTGCAGGGATCCCATAGATATGGATTATGTATAATTACATTCGTCCAAGCCAGATATGGGGGAAAAAAAAAAAAAAACCAAACACCAGCATAACTTCAAGGGAACCCCAAGTTTATCAATGCATGAGTATGTGTTGATTTATTTAATGATTTAAATGCAGGACAGACATATTTCTCACTATAGTTGCGGGCTATGGTTTTCTTATCCATCCCCCTGTGCCTCACATACTCTGTCTCATTGCAGGTCTATGACACACATCTTGATAACCATGGCATGTGATCCAGACTGCCTAGGCTGGAAGCTCAGGAACAGCAGATTTGTTTTTTACAATCATGACAGGCAAGAGGTACGTTTGCAGTTAATATAACAATGACATTTGGTATATTCTACTGATTCCTTTGCAGTGTAAAATTTATTAATAGATCCACTGTAGGTACACACTTAACCAGTGGGTAAATTAAAAGTAATGCTGGCCAACAAGGGCCAAAATTTACTTATGTACTCCTGGGCAAAGCCTCAGAATGGTGCTCCAGCAGCTATGTTAAAAAGCAAAATACCCATATAACCATTACTAGTGAGATTGACACTGAGTAAAGCAACCTTTTGCATGGCAGTTTACCCAAACCTCCCATATTTGTAGAACATTTTTTATTAATCCCAATATGCAACGATTAAACTTTTAATACGCAAAGAGGAGAAGGAGAAAAAAGGAAGAAAACCCTGTTCAAAATGTAACTATCGTAAATATGTCTGTTAGAAATGCATTTAAAGTAGTTGTAAACTTCAGACATGAAATATAAACATAGCATATCCCTCTGTGTACTTGTCTCAATTTAGAGCACTAAGACTAGGTTCACACCTCTGCCTGTTGAGATTGATGTGTTTTGCGCTTATGAATGCGCATTTTTTCAGAGTTTAGTATTGACTTTGATGCCACTTTGATGTGACTTTGAATGGGTGCAACTTGGATGTGATTTTGATGCTACGTAATACCAGAGAGTGTAAATTTGCTTCACAGCCGTGCTGCATGAACAGAATTGTCATACTTTCCTATTAAAAAAGAAAAAAAAGAAAGGGGGGGGGGGGGGGGGGGGGTGTCGCAGCAAAGTTGCACCAATTGAAAAGTTTAAAGACATGTAAAAAAAAACCCAAAAAAACTCATCAAAAATGCAATACACGCGTTTCTGCCGCATGTCCATTGAAACAAAAACGCACCGTGTTGCATTTAAAAAAGTCCCTGACCCCTTCTAAAAATGCAGTGGCTGAAAAACGCATAGGTGTAAATGTGTCCCATAGGAAACCATGTTAAATGGACTGTATTGCGTTTCTGCAAAATGCACTAAAAAAAACTCACAGGTGTGAACCAGGCCTAAGTGTGATTTCTGTCTGCTGTTTCATTCCTCTGTTATCTGCATGAATCACTTCTGACAAGTTTTCCTGACACCAAGAAAAAAATGGTGACAGGGGAGGGATCTCCAGCAGATTGACAGCCTCAGCTCTGTTTCTGTGAGCGGTCTCAGGACTGTGCTCACTGAGCTCTGTCGTGTGCAATTTCAGCTCTCTGCCCCCTTTATTCTAAACACTCAGACAAGCTTTATAAACTCAGCACTTTGAACAGCTGTAGAGAAGTGAAGACAGCAGATAGACAGGTACAACTTATGTAAGATGATTTGTTTCATCTCCGTTTATCACCAGGAGCCAGTCACTTCACTCGGTTTATGAAAGGGTTTACAGCCACAGTTTGAAGAGGTAGCTGCAAATTTCCTTCAAAGGACACACATACACGATAAGGAAGGATGAACTCTACCTCAATGCCAATATGGCCCGTGGATCATTGGTTCAATGCCTGGGTCCCTGTACATCCAAAAAGTCTATCTGAATGTAGTAAATGGCAGAGCCCGACTATAAACCGTTATTGGTCTCATTAAAAATCTATGGCATCACAGAGCAACAAGAACACCAACATGTTGCCTTGAAGAGTGTTAGCATTCTTGTTGCTGTATAATGCCACAGGTTTTAAATGAATAAATCATTGAAAGTTAACGGTTAGGCTCCAGCATTTACTACATTCAACAGCACACACATGGCTTAGGAAGGTTATGCATGGCCTTTTGCAGAGACATAGTATCAATTTCTAATTTAGTATTTCAAATAAACCAGATTGAACACATTGACTTCCACAATGCATGGGTCACATCCAATTAGCATGATCAGCAGATTAAAAATTTTGTATCAGTGAGGGATTAGAAATGGGGAATATAGTCTTACTGAAACACAAAATGTATAGGGTACACAGGATAGAATGCTACACAAAAAAGTAAATAGATGGTAAAAAAAAAAAAAAAAAAAAAAAAGAAACGTCATACTTAAAGTAAAACATAACTGAACAAGCAAAATGACAGCATTTAAGTCAGATTGGTAGTTCATATGATTTGCAATTATTTACACGAGTAATGCCAGAATGTAGAGGGTACAGCCTGCAGAATGGCCCTAGCCAAAAGAAAATGAAGAATGTATAAATGCGGTCTCCAAATGTCGTGGCTTTGTATTTCTTGGTAAAATTACCTTTGCAAGTAGAGCGCTCATCTCAGGAATGCCTTGTAGTAAACTCATTCAAACTAAAAGGGCTTTAAATGCATCAGGGGAACAGAGAATTTACATCTCCACAATGTGCACTTTTAGATTACCCACCATCCCATCAGTCTGCTAGTCCTCATGAGCAACCTCATCATCTGTCAGAAGCTGCCCATTGGCAGATGGCGTTTCAGAAGGAGCCTGTGATAAGTCTTCAAAGTCCTGACTTATAGTGGGGGAAATAATAGAAGGACTGGTGTCACAGTATTCTGTACTCTGCTCTGAAGTAGCAATGGTGGTGGCCGTACTCTTTGGCATCGGATCAAAATCATCATCATCTTCCAAACTAGGAGACTCATGGACATCTAAAGTTGGAGAACATTGAACAAACAACATTACCAAGTATTTCAAGTTTAACAAATGTGAAGCATATAAGTATACAAAATTGTTGAACCAGTGTAGATTTTGTACTATTAAACATTTTGTTAAACTTGCATTGGTATACATTAGATAGCAGATAGAATTAAGAAAATGGTCCAAACACTTTCAAAATATGTTTTCTCCTTGACACTTGAATAGATATGCACATCCATTAATATCCTTGGGCTGTACGACTTCATCACTTTCATGAGGGTATTCTCCAAAAACAAAAAAATGTAAGAGATATTAAAGGCAAGTTTAAAAACACACAACAAACATGTTATACTTGCCTACTCTGTGTAATGGTTTTGCACAGAGCAGCTTTGATCCCCCTCTTCTCTGCCCCCTTCCCCCCCCAGCGCTCCTGGCCCTTCCCTCCTGCCAAGTGCCGCCAGAGCAAACAGCTTGCTATGTGGCACCCAAACAGGCTCGCTACTGAGCCGCTGCTCTATGTGTCCATTCACACTGCAGCTCGGCCCCCCCCCCCTCCCTCATTGGCTCACTGGCTGTGAATGACAGCAGCCAATAAGGAGGGAGAGTTCACGTAGAGCCAAGGCTCTCATGCATATTGCAGATTGCGATGGTGCTCAGGCATTAGGTGGGCTGGGGGCGCTGCATGCTGAAGATTTTTTTACCTTCATGCAATGAAGGTAAAAAAAAAAACCTTGAGCCTTTACAAGCACTTTATAGTGCTACCCTTACTTTGACTGGTATGCCACTGCATAGACAGCATGAATGGTTTAGAAACCTTTGAACTTATAGGTATTGAACGAAAGACATTAATATTTATTTCACCATTTTAAACTATAGCTAGGTGCAAAACATCACAGGAAACAAAGAAATATGTTATTGTCAGGCACATTTTATATACCTAGGTTAAATGTGCAGCTTGGTTCATACTGTGCCAGAATATGCAATCATTCTTAGAGAAGCCTATGGTAATTTGCATGGCAACTTTCCAAGTGTAGAGCAGAACACATTCCTAGATATAACTCACGGAAATCTTGAAAGGAAACCTAAAGCCAAATTATGTGTTAGCTGCCGTAGCTAACCTCTACATCTAAAAGCTCTATCAACTAGTTTGTTAAGCAGCGCACACTCTATTGAAGCCAAAACAGGTAGGACAGCAATGGCATTTTCCACATCTATCTCAACATTTTCCTTTAAGGTATAATTCCTTTGCATTAACACAGTGCAAAGACCACCGTTTTGTGTGCAAAACCAATTCAGTTTCAGTTGTGGTCAATTTACTTTGTCTGATCAGTGAAATTAGATTGGCTTCTATGGATTAGGCAGACCACATGCAGCTCATTAAAAGCAAGCATTGATCCAAATATTATTCATCACTTGCTATTATTGGGCACTTTCTGTTGTACTATTAGGTTATGAAAAGTATGCAGCTGAAGGTTTTTTTTTAATCACAAAGGAGTTGATTTATTAAAGGCAAATAGACTCTGCAAGTGCACTTGCACTAGTTTTCCAGAGCTTTGTGCATGTGGTTAAGATTCACTTTCTAAAGAATAACCAATCAGGTGCAAGGAAAATAAAAAACAGCACTTATGCTTGCACATGATTGGATGATGGAAATCAGCAGAGCTTCAAACAGTCTGTTTGCTTTTAGCAAATCAACCTCTAAGGTTTCCATTCTCCAAGCGGGGACTGATCCTATATTTATTCTAGAGATATGATTGAAAGTTCATGCATGCACTGCTGTTCGCATCAAGCAAGTATCACAGTGTGTCCCTGTGCTTGTTCAAAGCATGGCAGGACATGCAGATTCCACTTTGCCTTAAAAAAGTGTATTTAAATCTGAAAACAAACCTGTAGTAAATTGCAGTTTATTAGACCTTATAAGCAGTGGCTAGATTTGTTTGTTTTTTTTTGTTTTTTTTTAGACTTTTTTCCTTTCCATTCCACCTGGTGATCCTATCAGAACATTTTTCTGTCATGTGGTGATAATTCTCACTCACAGTACTTTATCTATAGATGAGCTGTTTTGCCACCCTAGGGCTACCAAACAACTCACTCTGGGCACGGCTAATAATGCTTGAGATACTTCTACAGCATGCACAAGAAGTTACAAGCTCACAGGATTTCAGACAGGATTAGCAGGGGCATCTACAGAACAGACAATTATTCTGATAATATATTTAACAGACCAGAAGCGAGCAAATAAGAGATTTTTAGGTTGTACAAAAAGTATGTAAAACCAAAATTCAGACTGTAGACACAAAGTGAAGGAGATCTCTCCAAACCACCACTTAGACAGTAGTCAAATGTTCCCGGTGGCAGATTTGCCCTCTTCTTGCGTTTTGAAGACAACTACATTTTGGATTTTCCCCCACGTTGTGTCAAAGTGACAACTATCATCAAAATAAATATAGAGGGTGAATCTCCCCATCAGTGACAGAAGCAGCTTCCTACCTTTTTCTAGTCAATCCAAAACTGAAAAAAAAAGTATTGACTTTAAGCTGGCCATGCACTGTGCAAACTTCGGTTCATGACAAAACCGGACAAAATTCACTTAGTGGATTGCCCTGCCGACCCCCCTCCTGCCCAAGATTATTTGGTTGAAAAATCAAAGGAGCTGGTTGGAAAAAATGTCAGCCGAACAGAGACAATCAGATGCAGCCTGTATTTGGGTATTCTGACAGCTGCTGCTGGTTATCTGAATACAATAGCCCAGCAAGTTCTTCCATGCGCATTGAAAAGCGAGGATGTGTATGGCCGGCCTTAGATTCACTTTAGCACAAAAATTTTGCAAAACACAACACAAGCCAGATGGCTATGCAAAAATCATTTGTTTTCATAATAAAATATGAAGGTACTTACTGCTGAAAGAGTCCGGATATTGCTTTGCCAATTTCCCTTTTAACATCCTACATAACAGAAATAGGAAGCTGTAATAAATCCAGTAGCAGGGTGGTACTGTAATCAAATTCTTATTCATTGGACGACATGAAAATAAACCAGATGATTCTCTAATTGCCTCTAATAGCCTCAATGTTAAATTATGCAACTATATTGTAAAAAAGAAAGCTTTAAGGTAGCATCAAGAAATATTTGAATTCATATTATTTATTAGGCTGGGTTCACACCTAGCATTTTGTGAACACGTGATTTTGCGAACAATTTCGCACAACACACATAAGGCGGCTTATTTCAATGGGCTGCCGTACACGGAACAAACATCCCAAATGTAGCTCATGTAGCTATTTTGGCAATGGAGTGTTGCACACTTTTTTCTTCTTTTTTTTTTTTTTTTTTAACTTGTAATTTAGAATATGTCAATTCAAAAAGACTGGAACAACAAAGTAACCTTGCCTAAACCTCTCTAACAAGCTCACAAGACCAATATGAACATTTTACACATAAAACCCTAGGTGCTTTGCATTCTAAACCTATTTAATTAAATGCTGCATATATTACTTTAAGCCAGCGCCTCCCAGCACTTTAAGGAGTTTCTGATGCCGGGAGCTTGCCAATTCTTAGTTGTGGCGGCTGTATTAGTTTCCGATTTTAGGCTGTCTTTCTTCTATTTTCATCTGGCGATTCAGTCAGCAAGTCAGCTGTGTTTCAGAAGTTGTATCAGTTTACACGGATGAGACCATCCATTTACCACTGACAGGGGTGATTAAAATGATCAGCTTTTATTTATTCATGTAAAACCTTTAACTCAAAAGGAAAAACAGTTTTCTGTAACTGATTATAAAGCGTGAGCGGCTTCAATTTGTTACTGTATTCAAATCTGATAATACGTTTAACAGGGTTTGAAAAAGCCGCTCGCCGAATGTGAGGAGAAATTCCTCTGTGGCGAGCGGCGAACACAGATGAAGCATGGAGCGACTGCACCTGCACTCCAAGCCTCATTGTGAAGCCGAGTTCCGGTTTACAACTTCCGGTTTCCGGCTTCTGCAGCACCGCCGCTGAGGGGACAGGTGCAGGAGAGGTCCGCTCTCCTACGCTGAGAGGAGACACCCTCTCCACTGCCGCGGGGGACTCGGGGGGACAGTACTGTATACAACATGTCCTATCACTATAATGGAGTACAGGGGAGCTGGGATATACATTACTGTATACATGTCATATCACTATAATGGAGTACAGGGGAGCTGGGATATACATTACTGTATACATGTCATATCACTATAATGGAGTACAGGGGAGCTGGGATATACATTACTGTATACATGTCATATCACTATAATGGAGTACAGGGGAGCTGGGATATACATTACTGTATACATGTCATATCACTATAATGGAGTACAGGGGAGCTGGGATATACATTACTGTATACATGTCATATCACTATAATGGAGTACAGGGGAGCTGGGATATATATTACTGTGTACATGTCATATCACTATAATGGAGTACAGGGGAGCTGGGATATACATTACTGTATACATGTCATATCACTATAATGGAGTACAGGGGAGCTGGCTCGCGATTTTTCAGCCAATACATTTGCAGTGGTAGTGCATGCAATACTTTTAAAAAACACGCCGCACCAAATTGCATCGTACTGCAGTACAAGGGGATTTGCTGACTGCAAACTCACTGTGTGTGTGATCTGCATTTGGGATGCTGTTAAGAATATATTGGTACCCACAGCAGATCACAAAGGCAGTGCACTTTGGGCAAGGTACAGGAAATGCACACAGAATATGCCTTACCCACACCGCATTCCAATGAACTGAACCTAAAAAGGGATGTCAGTTTCAATCCCCATACATTTCTGAGCTCGCTGTGCACTTACACAAAGGGATCCCTTCCACCTGCAGCTTGTTTCAGCCAATATTTTACATTTCATGTGCCACTCCACCTCAAGTCTGGCATGGTGGAACAATCTGTCAGTGACAAAAGGTGCTTTATAATGATAGCACTTTAGTCTACCAAAGCAACAAAATAAATAACGTTGCTGGTTTATAGTAAAATACCAGTAAAGCTAACTATAGTGTGAAAGGCTATTTTTTTCATAATTCCCTACCTTATCCTTCTGAATACTATGTCCAAGTCTTTCTTCATTTCCACTAATGTCCTTGTGTGATGTAAAAACCGATCAGTCATTTGTTGCAGTCTGGTGCTGGAGAGACTGTTAAAGTTTAGAAGCATCTCATTGGTTTTCTCGAAGCGGTCAAGCCTAAAGAAAACAAACATGAAATGAAGAGAGTTAGATTTCTATACACTCAAGGTTTTAACAGTAAAAGATCCTTTTACGGTGAACAGTATCGAAAACAAAATAACATTTTGCATCTCACCAGTTCCTAGATTTGGTAGCTGCATTCATTTTTGTTTTTCAGGCTAAAAACATTTTGAAGTACAATCCCATCGATCCACCATTTAACAGGGATAAACAAAGGCAGACATGTTTGAAGTTTAGCAAGTATGACAAACATGGCTGCCCCATAAATACACTGGAGAAATAGGTGAAGACATTAAGGGACAGGAAGTGCATTAATCACAAGATTACTGAAAGAAAAAAAAAGGGAAAAAGCCAAAACGAAAACAAAACTAATGTAACCACTTAATCTGGTAAACTGAAATATATAACATTTTTGTTCTTGGGTTTAGATACACTTTAAGTCAACCACATTCTCTATGCTTACTTGCTGCAGGTATTAAGTCAGGGGTCTCTCATTCCTTTCTTGATTTTTCATTTATCATATGGCAAATATGGGAGGAGCAGTGATACCATTTCAGCTTGAGCAACCAAAATGAAATTGTTTATTTGCGGAAAGGGTGAAACAGAACCAGTTCATAAAAATTGTTATTTGAACATTGGCGTATTAGGGTATCTGAAATTCATCTTAGGGAACAGTTAACAGCATTCATTAGGAACCAACTCGCGAAACACAGCAATTTAGATGCCCTGGCAGGCATGTTTAAGCTCTCCGAGAATAGGCCTCGAAAGCCAGGATAGATATTATCGTTTGAGGGAAAATCTGGGTCCTCCCTACCCTCCCCATCCCTCAATTCATCCCGTTCTTTCCTCTACTTTCCTTCCTCTCTGCCCCCATCTTCCATTTTTTTTCTCTTATTGTTCTTTGATTACCCTCTATTGCTTTATTGTTAAAAAACTGATCTCAGCAGGGTGCAGACTCTAAATAGCATGGCAAGTCAGTGTATTCGTATACATGATTACTTATCTGATACGTTTACTCTTGCTAGGTTGTTTTTTTGCTTGTTTGTTGAAGGTTATGGTGACAGTAAGGGATTTACTAAAGCTGGAGAGTCCAAAATCAGACTCCCTTCTGCATAGAAACCAATCAGCTTCTAACCTCAGCTTGTTCAATGAAGCTTTGGCAATGAAACCTGGAAGCTGATTGGTTTCTATGCAGAAGGGAGTCTGATTTTGGACTCTCCAGCTTTAGTAAATAAACCCCTAATTGTCTATTGACTTAAGGAGAGCTGGACTAAATGTTGGATTGTAATAAGATGTATTATTCACCTTGTATGTAATAAGAGGGTATTCAAAAATACATAAATAAATAATACACATTTTAGCAAGTTCAACCACATTCAATCAAGAAAATGAAAATTCCAAATGTTTCCAAACATGGTACAAACTGCATTGCATCATCATTCTGCATATTAAAGTTTTACTAAACCCAGGACCCTGCATTTGCTATATCTGGTCTCCCACAGTATACAGAACATGGAAGTGCAATTATTTTAGTAAATATAAACTGCCAAAATACTTATCAGCAGTTTTTAGAGCAGTCTTGTGACTTCTATCAATGTCCAGCAGAGCACATGTTAAAGCTTTCAGGAGTTTTAATTTTGCTCTAGGAGGATGCAGATCCCCTGACCTCTGTCTGGACAGTGCTGATTTGCCCTGTGCTGATCACATGTCTTATCAGGAGAGAAGAGGGGGGGCACTGCAAGAAGGGGAGGATCAGAGAAGTCAGGATCAAACAGCCTTTTTACACAATCTGGAGGATTAATCCCTTAGGTTCCATAGTGAGTATAACAAGCGTGGTTTACTGCATATACAGACTGATTTTACAGTTGTGGGTTTAGTAACACTAACCGCTTCCCGACCGCTCTATAGCAGAAAATACTGCTACAGGGCAGCACGGGTGCGCAAAATCACGTATATATACATGATTTTGCATTTTCAGGTAGGGAACACACGCATTGGCGGCTGCCAATCATCGGGTCCCGGCCGGTGATTGCTGAGCATCTCCAATGGTGAGGAGAACTGTTTGTAAAACCAAACAGTTCTCCTCCCTGTCAGCTCGTGCACACTGCTTTGGATGGCTGTGCACAGTACAGCCATGCAAAGCAGTGTGCTTACAGTGAAGCACATGGACACAAGTACAACAGCACACAGTTAACCCTTTAATCACCCGTCATGTTAACCCCTTCCTGCTCATTGCCATTAGTGCTTTTTTAGCATTGATCACTGAATCGGTGTCACTGGGGATGTCAGTGACACCAAGTCAGTTCCCCCCAGTGACAGAATGGCCGCCGCAGTCCCTCTATAAGTCGCTCATCACTGCCACTACTAGTAAAAATTAAAAAAAAAAAAAAAATCCCGCCATTTGTAAACGCTATAACTTTCACGTAAACCAATTAATTTACACGTATTGGGATTTTTGGTTAGCAAAGACATGTAGCAGAATACATTTTGGCTTAAATTTATGATGAAATATGATTTATTTTTTTTTTTACTGAACAAGTTTAAATAGCAAAAAAGTAAAAAATATAGCTTTTTTTTTTCCCTCAAAATTGTCGGTCTTTTTTTTTATAGCGCAAAAAATTAAAGCTCAATTTGTGGGGGGAAAAAAAGGACACATTTAAATTGGGTGTAGCGTTGCATGACCACGCAATTGTCTGTTAAAGTAACGCAGCGCTGTAATGTAAAAAATGGCCTGGTCAGGAAGGGGGGTAAATCCTCAGGAGGGCAAGTGGTTAAAGGTCAAGTTCACCTCTTTCCATGTCCCATCTATTTTTACAGTAAAACATGTAACATGGTGCCAAGCCACCAAGATCTGTGAATGAATAAACTACAAGTCCTGTATGCAACCGCAGCAGAGGTTATAACTGCACTTGTAGTCCAGTCACACTCCCTGCAGCCCTGTATCCAAAGCTTGTAACTCTGTACAGACCCGTGACTGGAGAAAGAGCCTACAGCCCTAAAGTCATCTGCATTGCATCATAAGAGGTTGAGAATTATTACTGATTCAATCATAGATAAACAATCCTGTTGTTTTTTTTGGCTCAATATTTAAAATACTCTTGCAGTGAGATTCCTCCACATGGTAAGGGTTAAATGCTCACTGGAGCTAAGAGGTAAAGGCTATATCATTTATCCTATCTGCAGTCTCCAGCCCTGTCCTCTTCTCCCTAAAGTTCAAGCCTGTAGGCAGTCCCTCAACATCATCACATACAATGTAGGGCTATTAACACTGTATTGTATGTGGTGGGGGTGAATGTACGACCGCAGCCATGAACACCTTAGAGAGGAGGCAGCACTGGACCTTTTGCATGGATAGAGGGAGCCTACTAGAGCGTCAAATAAGGAAAGGATTTCTCCTTATCTTAGCACTACAAGACATACGCATTTAAATGAAATGTTGCCTATGCTGCATGGAAATCCCAACCAGTGCCATCAGCCATGACAGGGGTTTCCCCTGCTCCACTGCAGAACTCTACCTATTCCCTCCCTTCTTGGTCCCTCTTCACATGCATAAATTGATTTATTTCCCAGCAAAATAATTCTGCTGACTTGACTCCCAAGAGCCTGTGCACACAATGTGGAGGAAAATGGCTGTTAGAAGCTCTGGGAGGGAATGCATACAACAATAGCAGCTAACCTAGAAATTTAGGATTTTACTAGTTTTCTAGCAGAATCAAAAGATATTTTTCCACAAAACATGGGGAAATTTGCATGCATTACAGAGATGTATCAAACAGGTTTATATTTATTTTGCCCAGACATTTTAAGAACTTTAAAAGAGTCATTAAAACTGTCTGCAGCCATGGGGCTCTCTGATTAAAATGGAATTGAATGCTAAACCTACTCTCAGCAACATTCTAATTCGAATCTCCCAAACCCTGTAAAGAAAAGATCACTATTCTTACCAATTCTGAAGCCCCTCCAGTTCAAACCCGCACTGAGCTGTCAGCGGTGGCTTCTGTGTAGAGACAAGACACCTGATGCCCCATAGTAAGTCTATGAGTGACATAATTTCCTAAGCATTTCCTAGCCGTTGTCTGCGTTCTCTCTCTACACAGAAGCTGCTGCTGGAGACTGGACCGAAGCGGCTTCAGAATAGGCAAGTATAGCGATCTTTTCTTTATACGGTTAGACAGATTAGGCTTAGAACGTGGCTGAGAGTAGCTTTAGGGTTAGATAGATTTTGACTAAACTTCCACTTTAAGCTATACTGTAGCCTAAATTGTTAAAGTCTGTTATTTGATCAGTAAGATTTGTTAGTAGCACGTCAGAGGACTTAAAATTTAATGCTGGCCATATACACTTCAATTTCTTTTTCAATTGATCTCTTTCCATTGGAATAATCTATCTATAGTCAACAACCCAATCAATGTGCCACACATAGGGAAGTGGATTTAATTCAGTAGTTAGAATATGATTGTACTTTACGATTGCAAGTCGATTCCATCTCTGTTTCCACCATGTTCTCTCATAATCTGACCAATCAAATATACAATCATACTCATGAACAAAGTTTCTCAGTTCTGATCGATGTTAAATAATTGATAATTTTCTGCCCTGGCCTATTGACTCAGTCTGATGGAATCTGACCAAAATAGAGTCTAAATCGATTGGAAAGGAAATGAAGGCTATTCGATTGTTTTCAGATTTATTTGTTTTGATAAAATCATAGATTGATTGTATAAAAATAAATAAAAGGGTTTATAGCCACCACAATTACAGTCAACTTTCGTTTTAGGTTTGGGTAGAGTGTAGAAGATTTAAAATTTCTGTCAGGTTTTTTTCCTGACTTTGACCCCATTGGGGAGATTTTACCACAGTTCAAGTTGCTCTGTGACACTCATACTAGAGATGGAGGGACACAGCACATGAAGCAATAAAACTAGGGTTGCACTGATACCGATACTAAGCATTTTGCACCAGCATCAGTACTCATGCAAATGCTCTGATACCTGAAACCAATTCCTTCAGGCTCAGTTCTTTCAGCTGTCAGCTGAAGTGTAAACAAGTCCTGACAATTGGAGCTGTCAAAAACCCCCCCAAAAAAACAGCCTGACAATGTTTATCAACAACATTGCTCAGCTGGTTGTTTCATTTTGTATCTGTTTATTCATCTACAGATCAAAGGAATGCAGCATTAATTATTAAATAAATGTTCCTTTGTTTAACCCCTTATTAAAACTTATTAATCAGCCCTAATTAACTCCTTATTCTCATTCTCCATTTAATTATTACTTTTCTGTTGATTTTTTTTGTTCATTTCAATTTTATAAACTAATAATGATTACAAGTGAGGACAAAAGTTATCAACTAATAGACAGGTCCATATCAGAAATGTAAAAATTGCTCTGGTCCATGAGGGTTGGACAGGTAGGAGAGCTGAAGTAGTTAAGGAGCAGGGATGCTGCATCCTTAATAACTGATCCCTCATTTGGCTGTCAGTAGGTTTCTCCGACAGGTATCAGCGAGTACAAAAATAAAGTACTGGTACTTATATTCGCTGTAAAAAAAAAAAATGGTATCAGTGCATCCCTAAATAAAACACTGTCTAAAGTGTTAAACCTTTCTTCACATTACTAAAAATGTATTTTGTTTATATCTGTGGCTTATTTAGAGAGATTTGCCCATCCTGGCAGAAAGTGATGCAAAAATCACCACAACAAGCACACAAATGGTCATTAAAACTGGTATAGGCTCCAACCCTTTACAGTACTAATCAAAACAAATAGTTTGAACTGAAGTGAACTCTCACAGGTCACATAGTAGTTTTTTGCATATTGTACTTTTAACCCCCACTCACCTGAGTGGAGATAAAGCTGTAATTCCAAGGGCAACTGTAATAAAATTGAAAAACAAAAAAAATGGAGTACATACTTACATATGCCTCTGAGCCAGAATAATTGCATTTACATCCTCTGAGTTCACCATATTGAGAATCCTGTTACAAAATACTCCTGAAGCACTTGGTTCCATTACCTGGTCATCTGCCTGCAAAAGTAGAAAGTAATTGAGCGCAACTTAGTACAATTTATTTATTTGTTTTTTTAAACAATGATAATGTGTACACATAGATATGTATACATACATATACACACACACACATACATACTGTATATACACACACACAAACATAGTAAAACCTTCAGCCTGCCGAAGACAACACTATATGCTGCTTCTTGATGTGTTCAAATTTTCCTTTCCTCCAGATTCAGCTGGTCCCCTCAGCAATGGCCCCACTTTCTGGTTTTAGAGAGCCTCCTTTCCCTTACAAGGTATTACGGAGCTACCCTTGTTTTCATGCCCCTAGCTGGGACTAGAGATGACTGTAGGTTGTTTGCAACTACTCCTTCTGTTCCCCTTTTCTTCAAGCTAATAGATGGACAGCTGCTGAAGACTGCATTATCCCTTGGGACCTGGTAATCTTGTAACACATAATTTAGGGAAGTGGCAATTGCTGTGAGATCTGGTGCTGAAAGCATTGAGTAAAAAAAAATATGAGTGCATATGTACTTCGAATTAGAATGCATTCATTACAGGAGCCTAAAGCATAGTACCAGCAATCAACAGATCGCTGGTGCCATGCAGGTCTCCTGCAGACCTGTCAGTATATCTGCTTGCCTGTATGGGATGTACAAGCAAGCAGATAAACTGACAGGAAGGATCAATGAACTATCACAGCACTGTGGTAGTTCATTGAGAACTACAAGCTGACAGCTGCTAAGGCTGTTGGAACCTGTAGTTCAATCATTCACAGAACACGGTGAATGAATGGTGCGGCCCGTGTGGCCAGAGCCCTGCATGGCCACACTGTTTTTAAAAAGTGACAGCTTTCCCCATACTTCTGTCACAGGGAGGGGGGGCAGCATTGGGAACATGTTACATGTTCCACCCTAAAAACAGGTGGAACATGTAACATGTTCCCAAAGGTGAACTTATCCTTTAAGGGCCAGATAGTCTAATAAGCATAACAAATGTGGTAACAATTTCTCCCTCTCTCTTTCTAAAGATGTTGTACTTTTAACTACTGCTAAAATAACCTGTAACCCAAACTCAAACCACTGCCACATGAGAGCAGAAATAAAGTCAACCCTATGTCAGCTCTAACTTGACATATGGCTCTCCACGGGGCTGTTTATCCTTACTTCCAACAGCTGAATGGCATGGCAGAGCGGTAATAGTATGGTGACAATTTCTTATTGGTTAGCTTGGCATTAAAGTGAATATGCACTGTATGAGCAAAGCATAGGTTAAGTCTCAACTCCAGTCCTCTCAACACTTAAAGGATAAGTTTACCTTTTAACAAAAAAATGTGCATTTACTATTTTTTGACAGCATTGCACAAGTGATCGGCAGATTGCTGGTGCCATGCAGGAGTCCTGCAGACCTGTCAGTGTATCGGAGTGCCTGTAAAGCGCCATGGTAGTTCACTGAGAACTACAAGCCGAGAGCCACAAAGGCTATCGAAACTTGTATTTTCCCATTCACTAATTACTGAGTTTTTTTTTTTCTTTTAATTGTGACAGCTATTGGGGGAGAAGATCCCCTGCTAGCTGTCACATGGGGGAGCCAGCCCTTTTGTAACATGTTACACCCTGAATAAGGGTGTAACATGTAACAAAAGGTGAACTTCTTTAAAAAAAAAAATAGTATACTTTGACGGTGGGTTGTCCTTACTAATGTACTGAATAAGGATAAACAATTGACATGTGAACACAGTTCAGTGCAGTAGTACGATAGCCAGGGATGGCATTATGACGAAGCACCAGGGGGTGCGTCTATGACAGCCAGGACTCTCAAGAAGAGGACTGAACTATGCTGGTTGTCATTCAACCTGGGAGAGGAGTGCCATCAGTAGAAGCAGTAGGTCCATTGACATCTATGTGAAATTAATGCACAAAGCAAGCCCATAATGTGTTATACAAGACACTGAAGGGTCAGTTAAAACAAAGAAAGACTCAGTCAACCCAACTGCTTTTGTCCCAAAACAAACTCATATGTTACTCCAAATGCCAGTAATAGTATACACATTGCTAATACAAAACTTATTAACATTAAATTACACCAGTAGAAACACGATAGTATAATATGGATTAAATGTAACATATAGGCAAGCTGACAAATAGATGAAACTTTAATTATCACCCCCACATTCTCTAACTAAAACTAGTACAGAGACCACCAAAATACTTACATTTCTGGAGCTTCTGTCTTCCTCTGGTTAATGGCAGGGTGCTGTTTTTGGACAAGGAACAGTGGGATCTATGTGTAGACTCTCTGCCACCTATGTGTGAATGCAGATCCCATACCCTACCTGCTATGGCTGGAACTCCTAGAAACATCAGGACTCCTAAAAACTAGGTATTCCAGTGGTTCTCATAGTAGCTTGGTTTAAGAAGCAGTGAGAGGAAAAAAAAAGCTTAGAAACAGCTATAGGCTGATGTTAAGGGCTGCTTAAAACAGATCTCTCTTACATAAAGCAAGATCATAATATCGTACAACAAATAAAGCAGAAGTAGCTTTAAGCATGGTTCACATCTCTAATTTTAGTGTGCCACTTTTGGTGTGTTTGTAGAAAATACAAAAACTGTGGCTCTTAACCATCTTAAAAGCTGTAGTTTGACTATGGCAACTTTTACAGTTACATTATTCCAGTTTGGACCAATGTAAGTATGTGTTATACCTGCTGGAACCCTGTGGAAGCTGAAAATCACCATAGTATGCACATTAAAAAAAAGCCTTTAAAATTACTTGAATATGCTATCCTGTGTAGATGTGGCCTTGCAGAATTGCTTTCATCAACAAATGACGGCACAAATTATTTTATCCCTCTTGAAATATCACCCACACCATCCTCCTCGCTCTTCTCAAGACCTATTCTCTAGTAGAAATGAGCTCAGGTGCGTTCAGATGCTCTTCAGAATGAACATGGTCAAGCTTGCCACTAAGATGTCACCAGTAATGGGGCAATCGTCTGCAGCTAAGGCATTGTCTGGCCAGCACATACATGTCCCTTATATACATGAGGCCGCAGGGCAAGGGCATTCCTCCACAGATGATCGGCCCATTACAGGTGACAACTTCCCGGTGCACTTGACCACGTTGATACTGAAGAGCATCTGAACGGACCCGAGCTCATTGCTACTCTCTAATTCTCGTCACCTCCAGGACTTCCCGAGAGCCTCTTCCATCATCTGGAACTCCTCACCAATCTATCACCTACTCGAATCCTGGAAAACTCATCTCCTCAGGGAGGCCTATCCCTTCGCCACCTAATAAACTGTAGCTCTGATCTCTCCATCAGCTCATCCCCTACAGCAGTGGTCTCCAAACTGCAGTCCTGGGGCCAGATGTGGTCCTTTACTTGCTTTTATCTGGCCCTTGGGGAACAATGCCTTTCACTGATACCAAGGATGAGGCACCATTCTTCCCACTGACACCAATTTTGGGGCAATCCTTTTCCCACTCACACTAATTTTGGGGCAATCCTCTTCCCACTCACATCAATGGTGGGGTACCATTCTTCCCCCTTACATCAATGATGGGGCACCATTCTTCTCCCACAAATAATAAAGATTGTTAAATCCAACAGATCACAGTCTGGCCCTCTAAAGTCTGAAGGACAGTAAACTGGCCCTTTGTTTAGAAAGGTTGGAGACCCCTGCCCTACAGCCAGTGGCAGACTGACCATTTGAGCACTCAGGCACTGCCCGAAGGCCCAGGGTCAGTAGGGGGCCCCATGAAATGCCCCTGGTACCTTTTCTAGGGTTTTTTGGGTGTGCTGTGAGTGTGGGCAAGGACACAGGGGCCCCATGTTCCCCTATTGCCCGGGGGACCCATGAGTTTTCAGTCCGCACCTGACTACAGCTTTTACCTTTTTGTACCACTTGCTCCTCCCCTTGTGATTGTAAGCTTAGTAGCTGGACCCTGTTAATCGTCTTGTAATGTAACTGTACTGTCTCCATCAGGGCCCATTCACATCAGAAACTGCACGTCTATTGCGTGTTTTATCATGCACATTTGCATGCGTCTACGTGCGGTTTTCCATCCATGTTTGTGTCCTGTGAGGTCATTTCCTTCTACTTTCTTTGGGCTTTTATGCGTGCTGCATTTGCACACGTTTGCGCATGCACATTTTCGGCACAGAAAAACACAGCATGCTGTACTTTTCTTTCACTGCAATGGTGTGAAGTATGCCCATAGGCTAACCAGAACTGTCTATGCAGTTGGAATGCTGTAAAATAAAATGCATCTAACTGCCTCTGGTGTGAAAGGGCCCCTTATATTGTAAAGTGCTGAACAAACTATTGGCACTATATAAATCCTGTAGAAACATTAGTCTGACATTTCCTTAGAATGAAGTGTGTCAGGTTAAATAGGAGTTGATGAGAAATTAGGAACACATAAACACAGATCTAACCCTGTAAAGACACTTTGGCCAGGTGCAGAAGAAGCAGACTACAGGCAAACACTTCCTGATTTTATAATGGGGGGGGGGGGGTTCCATGAGAAGCTCCCTGGATGTGTACACCGACCCCTCAGGTGAGCTGACACTCCGCCCCGCAGCAGGCACACCAGATTACCGAGTGAGGCTGGCTCCCATGGGACTCGGGGAGATCCTTGCTCATTTTCGGCTGCTTTTCCCCACCATGCAGCAACCACCGGCAATCCTCCTGCACTTCCTGGTTTCCCATGTAAAGAGAGATCTTATTGGTTGGCCCGTGCTGCTTTCAGATTGGAAGATCCTAGCTAGTCCCGCCCACTGAGTCAGCTCGGTCAGCTGTCAGCTCCAGTGTAAATAAACCGAGCTGCTCAGCCTCCTCTGCATCTTCTGTGTATGGAGCGAGGATTTCATGGGATACTCATCTTGCCGCTGCACCGGCTCACCTGACAATGTATTATAGTCATCATGCTGGCATTGCTCTGTGTCTTTCCACCGATATGTTTTTCTACTCTATATAAATGTAGGGGTAGAA